CTGAAAAAGAGGGTGTGTGTTTAAAGTTTTTAAATTATAATTAAAGACACATTGGCCATTAATCCTCTTCAAAATATTCCCCTTTCTTTGAGTACACTTATCCCATCATTCTTTACACCTTCTGAAGCAGTTCTGAGGTTCTCTTATGGTGTGTTTATTCACACCGCCATATTGTCGTCATCGTCATCGTCATCGTCATCGTCATTGTCATCGTCTTCTTCTTCTTCTTCATCTTCGTCTTTGTCTTCATACTGGGAAATGAACTCAGGACCTTGTACTTGCCACACAGGTGCCACGCAGGTGCTGTGCCACTGAGCTATATCCCTGTCATCTTGATGGCCTGCACTGATTCAAAATGCTTACCTTTCAAGGTCATTTTGATTTTGACAAAGAACCAGAATTTACATATTGGCAGATCCAGTGAATAAGGTGGATGAGAGCATGGTGCCATGTTTTCTCAAGCCTGCCTTTCTGTGTTGGGTGACACTTGACAAGAGCATTTGCCATATATTTTTTTTTATCACAACTCATAAGATATGTAATGGGTCTTTCAGAAGTGCCTTAGAAAAGTAGAAAGAGAAGGGCTGGCCAAATAGTTCAGCAGATTAAAGCACCTGCTTAGGCAGACGCAGTAGCCAGGGTTCAATCGTTGGCTTGCTGTGCCCGCCCTACCCCCGGGGTGCACTGAGATGGCAGTTGAGACTAGGTGTGGTAGTGCACACCTGTAATCCCAGCTCTTGGGAGACTGAACACAGGCAGATCACTATGAATCCAGTCTACATAGTGAGACCCTGTAGACCCTTACTAAAATACAAAAAAGAAAGAAAGAAAGAAAGAAAAGGAAGAGGAAAGAGTGATAGGGTAAATGTGTTCCAAGCAAGGGAGGGTATTTTGAGGGGAATTAATGGTAATGTGTATTTTTCATCATATTTTTCAATCACTCCTTATATAAAGTTCTATCAGATACCTTTCTATTGTCACATTGAAAGAGTGGAACTTCCAGTCCAGCTGTACATGACACTCTCTTTGTAGTATCTTTGTTTGTTTGTTTAGTTTTGGGAGGTTTTTTAGTCCCTGGGTTCAAACTCAGGACCTTGCGCTTGCCAGGCAGGCACTTGCACCACTGAGCCATCTTCCTGGCCTTCTTTGTAGTATCTGGTAGTGGGAATTATTCTTTTCGATGGGAATTTAAGTGAATCAAATGCCTTCTAATTTATGTTTACAGTGATTGTGACATAAATCTATTACCCTTCAATGAGTTTTATTTTTAAGTTTTGAATACATAGTACCTGAGTTAAAAATATTAAAATATAGGATAAATATTGTACAGATCAAAATCCAAAAAAGTACTGAGAAGCTTGTTTACTTTAATGGTACAGAAAGATCTTTAAGATCTTCTGTGTAAAATTTTCTAGAAAAGGAGAAAATCCAAATGTTAATGCACCCCAGAATGTGTGAACTCTCTGTATATGAGCCCTGCAGCTGTTACCAGGCTGCAAGAAGAAAGGAGGTCTCTTCATCTTAATGTCAGCAATTGGGGTTCTACAGAATTCCAAGTTACTGGGGTGGTCCCAGACACTTAGTGACTCCCTAGTGATCAAAAAGTCTTGTGGCCGCTGCCAGTAATTTGCATGGAGATGGAATTTTACCTTAAACCTTTTGGAAAAGTGGAGAAGCCACAAATCCAGAGGCTGTTCAGAACAACAAAGAAGGGCTGAGGTGCCTTTGGCTGCTGACAGGAGTGTCTCTGAATTCCTCAAGGAATTCCAGGCCTAGAGTTGATCCAGCTGGCAGGAGGTATCGATCTCCACTTGAATTCACTGAATAAATAATGGTTGCCATAGTTATTGAGCTGTCACAACTGGCTGGAGAGCAAGGAAAACTCCAAGGCCCCCTTCTGTGAGTTTGGCCCTGAGATAGTCTGGCTAGGAGGTTCCACAATGAACCCCCTCCAGAAATTCAGCCACCATATTATTCAGTTTCTTCCTCTCTGTAATGAACACAGGATCTCAAATACTGTGTATAGCATGAAGCACTGAAAGAAAGGGAAAGCTTAAATCAATGGGTTGGTATTTTAGTCTCAAAAAAGCATCTCTCCCTGGCTTGTGACTCAGAGGTGATATAGCTCAATATTAACAGAGCTTAGTATCAGCAAGAGAGTGTGTGATCATGTTCCAGTTACTAGATGGTTTCACAGAGGGCCACCTGACATCTTGTACTGTTTTCACATTGCTGTACAAAACAGCACTAACCTAGAAATTTCATAAGAAAGTAAAAAGTCTTTTTTAAAAAAATGTGTTTAGTACAGTGTCTTACTACACAGCTAGGACTTGTACTAATCCTCCTGCTTTCAGCCTCGCCAGCACTTGGATTACAGGCTTGTACCACCACGCCTGGGCTTAGTGGCCAGTTCAGAGCACCTGGGAGTGGGGCATGTGGCACCTGCTTGGCATGTGGTGCCAGAGATCGAGCCCCGGTGCTGGGGCTCAGCAGGTGCTTAGTCCACTGAGCTATCTCGCCAGCCAAGAAAGTAAAAAGTTTTATCCAATCATCTCTTACGTATTTTCATATTTTGCTTCCTTTCATTCTTTTCTATACACAGAAATCACTTTTACATAAATGTAACTACAATCTAGATACTACTTTTATTCTACACCTCATTTAATGTTATGAATGTTCTTAACATGCTTGTGTTTCCATGTCTACAGAACCTTCCATTAATTGGAATATATAATTATATGAACATATGATCATTCCCTCTTCTTACAGGAAGAGGCAACCTCACAGATTCCCTATTCTTCAACCCTTTATCTTTTTCCACTGTTTGTTTTTGTCCTTCAGCAGTAGATATTGGTAAAAGGTTAACATTACACCAAATATCTCCATGTATAGTTTTATTTTTCTGTCAAATTGTTCTCTTGTATAAATTCCCAAGAGTGGGATTACTTGGTTCAGAGGCTGTGAACATTTTATAGCTCTTGAAATTTACTGCCAAATTTGCAGCCAGCTTTTATGCTTTTGGAGGGAAATAAAACTTTAGGTAGAACACCACTGTAGGCAGGATATCTCTTGAAGTGCACAAAACACAAAGCTGTGTATTTAGGACAGATAAGCGAAGGGGGAAAGTTTGCACCTGGACTGATCAGCAACTAGTTTCCCAGGGAAAGCAAAGTCATGCCCTGCAAACCTTTTAAAAATTAGGGGACTTTTTGCCTTTGTTTGATGTTGCAGTTGCCAACCACTTGCCAAGTGTCAGGCCTTGTCTTCTGTGCCACTTATCCCACATGGGCAGCTGGTGACAGGTACTTTGATGTAACGTCACCTTAGTTGAGCTTCACAGCCACCAGTGGAGGTGGGCTTTGTTATAATTGTACTGTTATTTTATTAGGTAATATTTAAGATAGCAAAAATACATTTACTACCCCATAACCCCCCTTTTTATGAAGACATTGAGCCTTAGAGAGATTAGGTAAATGGCTAATAGGTGACAGAACCAGATCTACCATTTGAGTCTGTTGAACTCCTAAGTCTAGTGCCCCTTTCTCTATGGAATATGGCATTGAGATGCAAGTTGGCATCCTCTGAGATATGGCTAGCAATTTTCAGTATTTTGTTTTGATATAACTTAACACATCAGGGCTCAAAAGGACCTGAGAGGTTATAAATCCTTCTTTGACAATGGTCTTGGAGAGGCAGGGACTTGCCCAAGTCAGACTCAGCTAACCAAGCTGGGGGAAATAAAGATTTGAGACAAAAAAATAAAGAAAAACAACTGAATAGTGGTTTCATTTTTCTGGTTGGCTTTTGATTTAGATAAATTAATGACAAAAATTTCTCTAACTAAAATGATGATGTCTAAGAGAAATCAGAAACTAATCCTTGTCTTCCCATTAGACAGATGTTTATATCTCTCAAGAATTGATTTTTACATGTAAATATATGGAGAAAGAAAAACTTGGAGATAACTGAGGCTGAGCTCTTCCCTTGGAAAAGAGACTGTGTTATCTGAAGGCTGAGGGGAAGCAAAGGGTCTTGCACTGAGTGTCAGGATCCTTTCTCATCAATGGACAGTGCAGCATGGCTTTGTAATAAGAAGACAGAATCTGCTTGGAAGAGAGAGTTCAAATCCCATCTTTTAGCAGCCTTGTGACTTTGAGGAAACCACTGAAACTTACACACAAAATAGACCATAATATTTAACATGGGGATTCTTTTCTGTGTTGTTTTATAAAATATGACAGTGGCGCTCACGTGTCAATATGTTATAAAGTGCATGCACCACATTCTCCCAGGTCTTCTCCTTTGCTCTCAGTTTTTCAACTCCACAGCAGTAGGACATGTATATTTTGCAGAGTATCAGGTATAGGTAAATAGGAGTTTCAAGGAGGTGGGTGGAGAAAAGCTGGATTCTTCCCAATAGGGCTTAACATGAAAACATAAGAATACACTTTGGATTCAGCCTTGCATGGCACTCCTTGCTTTAGCAAATAGAACTAGCCTCTGTACCTCCCACAATTGAGTCTGTCTAGATGAGTACATTAATTCATATACCTAGATCCTTGGCCCTTTAACTCTGAAAAGGAGATGTCTACTGATGGGATTTCTATAAAATCTTAACAAGATAATGTGTGCCAAATAGTAATCACTTGTCATACATTCGTTGTGGCTATGTGAAAGAAACTGTGTGCTGCACTTGTGTTATGTACCTGTTGGCCCTCACAGAACCCCTGGATTTGGGTATGATCATTTTCTTAATCTCATAAAGAAACTGAGGCTCAGAAATTAAGAGACACTCAAGAGCATGTAGCAAGTAAGCAACAGTATTGGAATTAAAACACTGGCGTATTTGATGCAAAGACCATACATAATGTACCTCTTGGAAGGAGAATACTTTATGTATGATCTCTACTATTCCAAAAAGGACAGACTTTGATTAGGGATATAGAATGTCTTAAGATGTTACCTGTCTCTTAAACTAGCCGTTTTCTATCCTTTGGCAGAACGACATGGGTTAAAAGAACCAAAGAGAGTGGAGGAGCTATGCAACAAGATCACAAGCAGCTTAAAAGACCATCAGAGTAAAGGACAGGCCCTGGAGCCCACCGAGCCCAAGGTCCTAGGTGCACTGGGAGAACTGAGGAAGATCTGCACCTTGGGCCTCCAGCGCATCTTCTACCTAAAGCTGGAAGACTTGGTGTCTCCACCTTCCATCATTGACAAGCTCTTCTTGGATACCCTACCTTTCTAAGCAGGAACAAGCTAAGCAGGAAGGCCACCTCATCTGCTAGCTCCCACGTGTGCAGAAAAGGATGGGGCTGGACACCTACCATTGTTCTATCCTTCCTTCAGAGGAAAAAAAACAAAACAAAACAAAAAAAACAGCTCCTATAGAAAACAAAGACATTTTCCTGGAATCTTTCCTGACAACTTAAAAGCAGAAAACTTACAGAGTATTGTGTTGGAGTTGTGTTTTCTATTTAGGCTTTGGAGGGTGGGATGGGAAGGGTTATATAGTTCATGAGGGTTTTCTAAGAAATTGCTAACAAAGCACTTTTGGACGATGCTATCCCAGCAGGAAAAAAAAAAAAAAGGATAATATAACTGTTTTAAAACTTTCTGGGGAATACAGTTATGGTTGCTTTGTATTTAAAAATAAGAACAGCCAAGGGTTGTTCACCAGGGTAGGATACGTCTTAAAATTGATCCCTTTAGAATACATTTCCTGTATCAAGGGTAAGTATGTGGTACAAATAAGACAGAAACGCCCTTTTTGTAATTTCTTTCTTTCTTTTTTTTTTGTTTTACTTTAACAAATGGTAAAATATGATGGGTTATCTACAAATCAGACATAGCAAAACAATGATGGCTGTTCGCTTCCATATACAAGTGCAATTTTTAAAGTGCTGTCTTACTAAGTCTTGTTCATGAACTCTCCTTTATTTTATATGGAAATAAAAAAGAAGCAGTCATGTTTGCAAATAACATGCTAATTTTTCCTAGCAAAAGCTTGATCCACATGCCCTAAAAACCCATTTGTAGTATGGTCCATCCAAGAGTTTTAGGCCATTCTTTATGGAACTAGATCCCTGCTGACTTTCTAGCTGTCCTGATGGGAGATTATGAAATAGATTATGCACAACTATTTTGGCTGTGTTCTATTAACACTGCCAGAATTCTCTAAACATCCTTCAGCTGTACCAACTTACTGGTGCATTCATTCAGAAATCTAAGGAGCATTTGGTGAATCAGTCGAATATTTGATCCCCAGATGAGAACATTCAAATAAATAGGAACTGAGTCATACAGGGTAAACACAAGGAATAGTAAGGAGATATAGATAGATATATACATATATATCATATATATATAATTTAATTTTTGTTAAATTGGTAAAGAGATAATTTTTGGAGAGTAAACAAGTCTTTTTTTTAAATAGTATTAATGTGAGTAACAGAAAAGGTTAGTGGGCTGCGTTTCAACATTCCGTGTTCGTACTCCCTTTTGTATGTTTATACTGTTAATGCCATATTATTATGAGATAATTTGTTGCATAGTGTCCTTATTTGTATAAACATTTGTATGCACGTTATATTGTAATAGCTTTGCCTGTATTTATTGCAAAACCACCAGCTCTTAGCAGCTGAATTACAGAATAATTAAATGGGGTGTTCACAGTGACTTGGATACACCAGTTAGAAACTAAGAAAATATATATAAATATAGCAGGTTACATATATATATTTATAATGTCTTTTTATTAACCATTTGTACAATAAATGTCACTTCCCATGCCGTTATTTTATGGTTCATTTGCAGTGACTTTTAAGGCAGTACTGTTTAGCACTTTGATATTAAAATTTTGCTTATGTTTTGCTAAATTCAAATGTTTGAAGATTTTTAGGTCTAAAAGTCTTTATATTATATACACTGTATGAAGTCAAAATATCTTTGGCCATTTTGCTAAGAAACAAACTTTGAATGTCAAACTGATGTCACAGTAGTTTTCATTAGCTTTAAATCATTTTTGCTTTAGTCTTTTTAAAGGAAAACTAACAAAACTATGCTGTTTATATTGTCATTAAATCATACAATCAAACAAATGCCAAATGAATTGCCTAACTGCTGCAAATTATAACCTAGATAACAAATCATATAATTTTTTCTGAGTCATTCTGATATTTGACCATGTGTTATGTTTGTGTGAGCTTTTATGAAAGATTATTTTTATATCAAGATGATAGGATCTGAATTGCTAGGGTTTTGAAATGTTAGACTTGAAAGGGCCCTGATTTGTTAACCAGTCCAGTCTCCTGAAATTCAGAGGAGAAAATGAAGGTCCATTGAAAGGAGAAAGAGTTTCACAAAGTCCTACAGCTAATAGCAGATTCAAGAGTGAGATTTTACTCACCTTTCCATAGGCTTTTTTCTCAGCTTTATGCAGCTCTAAGAAAATAGGCTTTTAAGTATAATCACTAATATTAACATTTTACCTGAAGATAACCACAACTAAGTAGTACTTTGTATTAATTTTTGAGCTTATATGCAAGCATAACAAGCATTATTAAATATCAGGAAAGCTAACATTTCATACAAGATAGCTTCAGACCAAATTCAAATTGAATTTGAATAAATTAGAAGTATTGTGCATACATAACCTTCTTGTGCACCATGAGTATTTAGAAAGCTAATCCTTGTTTTTATCATCTCTGAAAAGGAAAAGCAAAACAAAAACAAAAACAGAACAAAGAACGCTTTACTTGTTATTTTTACATCCATCAGATTTAAGAAAAAGGACTTTTTAGCTGTCATATCTTATTGGTTGGAAGGAATAAAGAAGCTTTTTTAGTTATAGGTCCAGAGACACTAGTGCTGAAAATAATGATTATAGCCAGTGTTTTTCTGTCTTCCATAGTTATTACAACTATGAGAGCCTCCCAAGTTATCTCTCTCTCTCTCTCTCTCTCTCTCTCTCTCTCTCTCTCTCTCTCTCTTTCATGTTGACACACAAGTTTATACAGAGTGGATGACCACACTAACTCAGAAGAAGACAGCAAGCATTAAAGCAGGTGATTCTTCCCCTTGTGGGAGAGCTCTCTCAGTAGGAACATGCCTTTCAAGGGCAGAAATCAGGAATCCACCAGCTGTTAATGGAGAGTGCCTTGCTTTTATTTCAGACAGCAGAGTTTGCCCAAGTTCCTCTACTCCTCTAACAGCACTGCTCTTTAGTGTGTGTTAACCTGTGGTTTGAAGAAATGCTCTTGTACATTAACAATGTAAATTTAAATGATTAAATTAAATTACATTTTACCAATGGCTACTGGTGTGTTGAATAAGCACGCTTCATTTAACACTTTCCTCTTTATCATTTAGATAATAGTATTTGCTGTGAACACTTAAACACATCCCAAAATGGATTTTTTTAAAGGCTTAGTAATGCTGGAAAATTAATAGGCATTCTGAATTGGAAATAGATTAAACCTCACTGATTGGAAGAAAGGACACTCTAAATTCAATAACCATTTATTGACTACTTCCTGGGGGCAAAGCACGGCTGGGTGCTCTGAAGAGATACAGACATGTACAGTGTATGAAATTCTGTTTCTTTCCTGACTGTATATAACTTAAAGGCAGATAACAGTTTGTTGCCTAACAGTATTTTTTAAAGCAATGAAGGATTTGCTTTGTCAAGATGATAGGATATTGTCTGTGAACTAAAACCTGTAACAATCAGGGCTCTAGTTTTCAAAGATTGGGCAGTGCTCACTGCCTTTTTGTTTAACCCATTGCTATTACATGTCTTAGAAGTCCTCCCCTCTTTTTGTAAAACTAATGTGCAGCTTATTCAGCTCTACAGACAACGTATATCCTCAATGTAAATACAATTTTTGTGTGTTGATGGCTCAAAAGTAGAAATGCAAGAGCTCCCATCATTTAGCTCGTCCATTCATACTATCTGTGTCTAAGAGCAAAGCCCGTCTTGTTGCTTCTCAACAGAACTTTCATTACCAAAGCTATAAACTCTGATTAGCATGAAAAGAAGAGATACAGTGAAGCACTAGCCTGTGCATGAATTAAAATGTTGGTATTTGGCCAAAAAGAAAAAAATAAGAAAGGGTTAAACTGCTTCTCTTGGAACAATAGGAACAAATAGTTGTTTTGACTAGAAAGGGGAAAAGAAAGGTTAGGGCTAAATAAAGGACACTTACCTGTAATTGAATTTCTGTGTTAAATGCACAAAGACAAACACGGAAAACTCATTGTGGACTTTTCCCATAATTGTGGTAAAATATACATTTCATAAAATTTATCATCTTAACCATTTTTAAGCATGCAGTTCATCAGGGTTAAGTACATTTATAGTATGCAACCATTCTCCTGAATTTTTTTGGCATTTTGCAAAACTGAACCTATGTCTGTTAAACAATAGTTCTCCATTTTTCTCTTCCACAGTCCCTAATAACCATGATTCTATCTTATAAAAATTCATATAAATGGAATCATACAGGATGTGTCCTTTTGTGACTAGATTGTTTTGCTTAGCATGTTGTAGCATGTGTCAGAATTTATTTTAAAAGTGGAGTAATATTTCATTGTACATATATGTCACATTTTGTTTATCCATTGATGGACACTTGAGTAACTTTTATATCTTGATTACTGTCTTGTGAATAATACCATTATGAAAATGGACATACAAATATGTTTTTGATATCCTGCTTCTGCTCTTGGCAATGTTTACTTTTGAACTGATACTTGTGTATGATTTAAGTGCTTTCTAATGATAATCATGATTTTATGTGACTTTTATTATTTTTGTTTGCCATAGGCATTGATTTCAGAGAAACCCTATTTCCTTCTTTTAGGAAATACCTGAGATTTCTTCATGAGAAAAGATGTTTATAAACCTATTTTTAAGGTTAGGCTAAAAACTGAAAAGACTAAACTCTAAGTGGTAATATTTATCAAAATACTTTTCCTTTAAAGAGTCCAACTGGTTAAACATTTCAAACATCAAATGGGAGTTTTTGTACTTTTACTTATTTAACAATCCTCACCATTCCTTAGGAAATGCTTCAGAAAATTCTTCCTCGGGGTTGTGCCTGAGTTGCTCTGTGACACTGACACAGGCAGTATTCTCTTTGGCTTATATTGCAAGCACATTGTCACTCCTGTTTTATTGTTTCTATCTCTGATCCATTTCATGGCTTCATCAGCCCGGGGGTCATTAACCCCTTCTCTAATCTGTTATGATACTGACTGTCCCCTAAGATGAGCTTCCAAGATGATTTGATTTGAGGGGGAGGAGGAGACCTAAAGTTATTAAGCATCGTGTGTGTGTATGTGTGTGTGTGCGTGCGCGCGCGCACACGCCAGATACTTTAGTAAACAATTTTATCAATGATTTCATTTAATGCTCACCACTTCTAAGATAGCATCCTTATCCTCAGTCTGAAAAATGGGGAAAGAGACTGGAAGAGGAAAAGTATCCACCCCAAGATTGCACAGCTAGAAGGTAGAGCTTGAAGACTAGTTCAGCAGACAATACCTCCAACTGCCTTCTTGGAGTTCAGTCATTAATC